TTTGATCGTTGCTTTCTTCAAGTTCATCTCTTCAATGATAAAGTAATTTATATAAGGAGACGACTTCTGCTGCATTTTCGGCGATTTTTCACTTTTATAACATTTCAATTCAATGGCTATACGCACTCAAGTCTAAAACGCAACAACAGGTAAGGAATCAATCAGAAAAGAGAAAATCAAGAATCTGTGTATCAGGGGCATCTGGATGTATGTAGGCGTAGGAGTGACGGCTTCACTGTTAATGACAGTGAAGGGAACACTCGTAATCGCAACTCGATACCGATCCTACAGTCACACTCAGACATCCAATAGCACAACCATGGGTGTGGATGTTAGTCTTGACTCAACATATACCAGCACCCAGATCCTCATAGCCACAGCCACATCTGATGAGAACGAGACTTGATATCTCTTTTTCAACCACTCATCCGAATCCACAAAGTTGTCAAAAACTCCTCATAGCTTTTGAATAGATAGACGAATATCAGTTGATCCTTCTATAGAAGCCAAACTTTATTTTAACATGGTTTTTAAATATTTAAAAGAACGAAAAATTGCGTTCAAATTGAAATATACTCTATGTTTAAATTTCAATCTTGCTTTCCATGGTATCCTTGTAACGAGAACTTTTGTTTTGATTGTTCTACTTCAGAGTAACAGTACTCGAATCAATGCTAGTAATTTATCAGAAATATGAAGCCAATATGCTGCGTATTCAGATATCCATATCTACTGCAATATTTTCATATTCTGTATACCTTCATTTGTCTATAGTAAGAGATGTATCCCTGAGAATTTTAGACAGGCATCAATAACTATCGATCAAAGTTTTCGAGCATCTGTGGAGTTCATTTGTATACCCTTCAGCGAATCATAACTAACACTGTGATTCAGGGACTTTATCGTACATCGATATTCACAATAAAATTGTTTTAGTTTCAATCAAATTCGGATCATATATAGTCAGGATATGGAATTACGAAAGCGGAAATTTTCGACTCATAAAGTTTTTACCTTCATAGGTTATCCAGTTCGTAGTGGAACGGAATCGCTCATATCATTACTCTGCTGTGCGTAGTCGAATAGCGACACGAGTTTGTAAACATCATATATGATTCATATGATTGGAAATGCAGTGAACGAAGAAAATGAAGAAAAAGATGACCTTCGTGGGATTCAAGCCCACATCTCCTGCTATCCGGGCAAATGTCCTAAGCCAATTAAACCAGAAAGCGTGTCTTTATCTTGGCTTAGCATCGCAGTGTATCATTATTGACGCTAACAGGTTTTTGTTGCTGATCTAGATTTATTGGGTGGAATGTGAGTGTGAGTAAGAGTTAAGAGAAGAGCCATATCGACGCTGCTTCATTCAAGAAAGAACATAAGAGAGATAAAAAATAAAAAGTGAATGATATATTTGTTTACTTTAAATGGCTCGAGAGAGAAAAACTACACTACTGCAGTGAATATATTGACTGCTGAGTCAGTTTTGTAGAATTCACATATTTTTCGAAGAAAATGGTGAGTGTAAGTTTAAGAGCGCGTTTTCGTGGCTCCCGCTCCTGCTAAACCCCTCTCCATTACAGACTGTAGCAATGAAGAATAACAGGCGTCACATTTTTTAGATTTTGTTGCAAAATTGATTAAGTTATAATTTTGAAAAATAATAAATATTACTACTTGTGAGTTGATTAACATAAATAATACTGCTTGAGACCTGCTGTAAATATCATGAATATGTAAAACAGACATATTTGTCAATTAATTTAATGATTATAATAATAAGAATGTTAAATTAAGAAAAAAAGAATTTTAAAAAATGAAAATTCTTTTCGAAATGCAGAAATTAGAGAAGTCATTACTCTGAATATCAATTATCCTGCAAGCACCTATAATCTACGAGAGATTTATCACTTTATATGTTATGTATTAGTTTAATTAGGCTAGATAGTATATATGAGTTCTATATTTCAGCCTCAAAGGAGCTGCGCTAACAAGCTTTCTCATGAAATAAAAGTAACAAAAATGGCTTTGATGGAACCAGGAATCTTGATACTCATCTTGTTACCGGCATATTGTCATTTTCAGGGATTAACACAGGACTTTTTGTCACTTTCAATCGCTTGGTTTTAAATTTCAGACATTTTGAAACTTGGAGACACAATACTAATACTTTGATCAGACTATAGATAATGCTATAAGAATATTTAGCTGGGCAAAGCGAGTACGGAGAATGTTGATGATATCACGTGGATATAAAGCATATTTTCAACATGCTCAGAATATGCAATTTCCGTAGGGATTACCGAATATGGGAATCTACATTTTCAACTCTTGAAGAATAATGGTTCGTTTCATTCCGCTCCTTAACGTGCTGCCAACGAATCATTTCCCATATCTAGTACTTCTAATATCCTATCTTCAGTGCAACTCATCCTTTCAGTAGAGGGTTAGCAGCGTTCGCGCTGCGTTACTTGTTTTATTTCGATAGATCAAATAAACGAAAAAGAACTAATCAATAAGATTAAGATTCGTTACATGCTCTAGAAATATTTCTTAACTAATAGAATCAAGAATATCATATTACCAAAATTTTATCAAGATATTTATTTAAACATCAATGAATTCACATTGTACATAAAAGATAACAAAAATGAAAAATACAATGCATAAAATACACGATTTTTATTTATTTCACCGACTAACAAATGGCAAGAATTTTCAGATCTCGAAATGATATGAAAAAAGTATCGACAAAAATATTTGCTAATTCTGTCCATTGAAACTCAACCAGATCAATCTGTTGAAAGTAAAATATAATCAAAACGAGTTTTAAAAAAAAGCCAAATGTAAAATAAAAAAAACGTGACACATTCAAATTATTTGTTTTAATATGAAAACAAATACATAAGAATAACTTTATACAACAAATAAACATAAAAATTTTCATATTCAAAACAAATACTATTTCTATTTAATAAAATATTATTTATGTACTCATTCATTCATCAGTAGATAACATTGATGTTCTATAATTTTTCTCTAAATGATTCCAATTGATTCGACAATTCTAATTCATCATCAATAGACAATAATGTTGTTTTCTCTTGTAATTGTTTTAATCGTTGCATAAGTTCAATAAATGTTGGTCGTTGTTCACTAATTTCTTCCCAACATGAACACATTAATACATAAATTTTTTTTGAACAATTTATTGGACATACTAATAATATTCTATCACGTATCATTTCAATAACTTCAGGATTTGTATATCCATAATATGGTTGAGTACCATATGAAAACATTTCCCATAATAATACACCAAATGACCAAACATCAGACATTTCAGAATAAATACCTGATAATAATGATTCAATTGACATCCATCTTACAGGTAAGGAATGATTTGCTATATTATAATAATCTAAATGATATTTTCGTTGATAACGTCCTATATTTGTTATTTTAATATTTAAATGTTCACATAAAAGAATATTTTTTGCTGACAAATCATTATGAAGAAATTTTTTTTCCGATAAATATATCATTCCAGATACAATTTGTATTGATATAAAAAGAAAATCCTTTAAATTAATATTTTTTGAACTTTGTAAAATTAAATATTCATGTAAATTTCCATGATTTAAATATTCATAAATTATTAATGGATATGAATATTGTGATGAAATACAAATACCAATAAGACAAGATAGATTTATCTGATGAATATGACGGAAAACTATTTAAAAAAAAAAAGAAATTATTGTGTGGATAATAATAATAATAATAATTAGATTTTTATTTGTACTTTCAATTTCTCGTAAATAATCTTGTTTATTATGTTCATTTTCTAATGTTTTAATAATACATTTATTGTTACTTTCAATTAATTCACCGATATATATTCGTCCAAATTCTCCTGAAAGATAAATTTCAAATGAATAATAATCTTATATCAATAATTATTATTTTTACCTTGACCAATTTCTTGTAAAAAACGTATATTTGTCATTGGAATTTCATATATTGTATTACCACTGAGCGGAAGATATGATTCTTGATAATTAGATTCTGGTTGAAGTAATGTTTGACGATGATGTAAGCTAGGTAATTTTATATTTGTTATTGGTGATGATGATGATTTAATATGTTGATGATGATAATGATTTTGTTTAATAATGATTGGTGATGATGGAATTGGATTTACAAGACAAGAAGGTTTTATTCTTGGTGTTGATACTATTGAACTTGAAGATAAATGATTCTTTTTCTTTCGATTACGATAACAACAATAAAAAAATAGTATTAATATACAAATCAGAGCAACAGTTATGATAATTTTTAGAAATAAAATTTGAAGATAATTCGATGATGATGATGAATCTCCACTAATTGAAGATATGCTTGTAAACGATGAAACTAAAAAAATAAAAATACCTTTGTTTGAGACTCAGATTTTTCTTTTTAGTAGAATTTTCTATTCAGAAATGGTAGCCAAATTGATCATTTGTCAACACGATAAAATAATTTTTGCGATATTTTATTAAAGTATAGTCTAAGATATCTAAAATCTTTAGGTAATTATAAGATATGCGATGTAACTCTGAATGATCTATGGTCTAAGTTAAAAATTCTCTTAGTCGATTTTGATTAGAAAAGTGATAAATTTTGCTTATAATCAATTAGGGAGCTGCAGGTCCTTCCAGAGCTGAGCCTGAGTCTGAAATTTTACTTTTTTTTGTTGGGTCTGGCTCCATAATTTCATTTTTTTGTCAGATCTGATGACACATTTTTGTGAATCCGCTGCTTTCCGGGTGAGAAGTATACAACAAGATATAACTGTACGCTGAGGTTTTTTTTCAGAGAGTGGCGAATAAATCGCTAAAACCTAGATCCTCTACTTGTTCATGTAAATGAAGGGCGACACGTATTGATAGAAAAAACCTCGGGTTTGCATCCGACCGGGTCCGGGTTCAAATTTTTAATTTTTTTTTAGAATCCGGGTTCGGATCCATAAAAACGCGAATCCGTAGCTTCCTACAGGCGATACTTAATCTAATATGGCCATTAGAAGTGATTCTGACAGAGTGCATCCAAGCAACTAAAGCAAAGATTTTCTTGATATGTTGATTAATTCTCGGCATTTCTCTTTTATTGAAATAATATAAAACTCACCACAAATAATTTCATGCAAAATCATCAAAATTCGAAGACAAATATGTTAAATTTGTTTTCCTCGTGAGACAACACATTCGGCGGATGTCCTTCATTTGAGCTCATGGGCAACAGTGTCCAACATCAGTCAATTTATTGTGGCTCGATCTGGGATCTAATAGATAGGACTCATAGTATTGAAATTTTCTACAACAATAAATCGTATGGTCCTTATGATATCTCGAAAATTTCAATTCAAACATGTGCTTCACTTTCGCTAAAGAAAAAAATCATTGGTTTGAGCTGAAAAGTTCCGACGAAAACTTTATTTCTGTTTTTTTTCATAATATCCTGCACTAGGCTGAAAATTCAGTAAAACGAGTATAACTAAAGAAGACAAGCTTAATTGCACGAACCCTTTTAGAATTTTTATCTATACTATGAGTCCTGCCTATAAGCAAAATATGACCTCATGCAGAGAATATCAGTTGGACAGATTCTCGCGTTAGTATTGCATTCAATACTTCATACAAGATATGCAAACAAAGTCTGAGTTTTATTTCATCAAGATTATGGTAATCTGAATGCTTCAGATTCCTACTGAGAGCTCGTCAGATTCAAATTTTCGGACTCGGTTTTAATTGAATATTTTCGAAATCCGAATACGGCTGATTGGAATTTTTCTGGTTCATACCGGGACCCAGACTCGGCCATACTTCGGTAATTTCCATAAAATTTTCTAATTGGAATTGAGTGGTCGCCCCAAAGATAGGAGATAATAGAAGTTTTTAGAACCAAATCCAACTGGATCCAGAATCTACCCAGCGGGTTCTACTGCTTTATCTTATCAATTATCTACACTGTCTCCATACTTTTTGATTCTTCAGATTATACACATTGACTGGTAACAGCACTGTGTAAGAGTCAAGGATAGAGCTTATCGGATCCAACATTTCAGACAGATTGTAGTGAAGAAATGTGTGAATCTGACAATTTTTGTTTCATCAGATTTCTTTTACTTCTATTTGAATGATAGACTAATTAAAATAAAACTTCCTGCAATTCTTTATGACCTACGACTTTGTTTTATTTTTCTTTACCATTGCGATATTGATCAACTTTAATACAAGATACATCTTCACTTGATGGTGGTAAATTTTCACATGTTGGTATAGTATATGAAACTCGAACTATGAATATAATAAAAAAAAAAAAACTATTTTTTTTTGAAAGACTTTTCTTTTTCTGACTTACAATTTGAATAAGGTTCTGGTTGTTTAAACATTTCTCTCATACAATTATTATTTTGAAAATAATAACATGATTTTCGACATATTGATCGAACAGTTATTTGATTTTTATCACAAATAGGATATACAAAAAAACAAATCATAGGTAATAATAATTGACGACATTCATTTGATAGAAATTGAATATTTTCAATTAAATTTCGTTCAATTTCTTTTTGATTTAATGTTCCTACAGCAATATTATTCGAACCAATTATTAATCGACAAATATTTCCTTTATATAATTCACATTTTAATTTCTCTATTAATTCATCATTATTTATTATAATTTCAGGTTGAAATTCAATGAATGGTGATCTAAAATGAATATTTATTTTTCAATTAAAACAAAAGAAAGTAAGAAATCCATTACAAATCATCATTTAAATCAATTGAATCAAAATCTATATAATAAACAACAAAAACATAAATATTATCATTAAAAAAAAATATTTGTAATACCTGAATTTTTTACTCGAACAAATCCAGTTGATGTCAATGTTTGTAAACCATTTGATACTTCACATGTATAAAAACCAGTTTGAGATTCTTTTAAATTTTTTAAACGAATACTATATTAAACAATTCTATTCTGTTTTTTTTTTGCTTTCATAAAATATCTTTTTTTTTTTGGTTTTTTTTAATTACCTCGATTGAAAAAAATTTTCCTCAATATTAAAACTATTTTTATCAATTGGATTATTATATCTATACCAATTAAATGATACAGGATATAAAGATTTAACTTGACATTCTAAAAGAACTGTTTGACCACGATCTTCTGTTATATTTTTTAATGTTTTAATCCATTGCATATTTGTTGATAATGTACTAAAATATAAAAATTCAATTTATAAGACCTTGACAATGATAAGCAGTATTATCATCAATTGATAAGATCATGTCATCATCAGTTAGAATAACTTATCAAGGTGCTTTATCTATCATCTAGACATTTCTTTGTTCTATTAATTTGATGTGATATATTTGAAGTTTTCTTTTTTTTGATTAATTTCTCAAATATAAAATAACTCTTTGTCTCAATAGATGTACAATTGATGTATACTTAAGTATAGTTGATGAAGTCGGTTGATTGACAAATATATGTGTTATTTGTACTTGATATTGATTATCATCGTTATTGGTCGATGACAGATCTCCCAGTGACAACAGTTCCACCAGCAGAAGAATGAAGGCTAAAGAAAGTAAATGAGATATTACTGTTATCACAAGTTGATGTTATTGCCCTGTTCTTTCCAGATCTTTTTTTTTTCGTGATACATCATATAAGATATTCTTTTGCCTAGAAGTTCAGCGTAGATTCTTTCTACTGATAATAGAGTGATAAAAAGAATCTTGTCAGAATTGAAAGATAGATAGTCATCCATTATATAAAGCACTTGCATATGCTGCTTCGCTTATTTCTATGATGGATATTTTATAGTTAACGTATAAATAAACAATTTGTCTTTATATTAAGTTTTTTATGATTTACTCGATGAACATTTTATTTTAATAATTATGAACTTCTACTTCTTTGTTTTTTCTTATTACTTATATTGATAGTAGAAGTTGTTGTTGTAATATCATTCTGTTCATTTTATTAATGCTTGTAATTCCAAGGAAGAATTCAACAATAAAATAACACATCAGAATGTTGCTAGATTATTCAAAATATTGTTCTATTCTGTGATGAAAAAAGAAATTAGATTTGATTTTCAAGAGCTGTAAAATTTCTTGTAACGCTATTCAAGATTTTGCCTCTTGACACTATACAGATAAAATAAGAATCTTGACGAATTTTTCCGCAATAAAAAACAGCATCTGGAAAAAATAGAGACAAAAGCGTTGACTTGTCATTTTTCTTTCTTCGTTAATTAAACAGCAAATAGATAAACATTAAAAAAATACACTTGACACAAAAGAAATCAGTCTGTTATCTAAATATTACATTGACTTAAGAAATGTAAACAACTCGCTTGTCTTATTGTACTACAACAAATGTTTGTTACACAGAGTTTTGCTACTCGTAAAAAAGCCATTATTGTACAGATAGTATACAACTTTACAAAAAAAACAAAAGTATTTGTCGGACTTACCAGATAAATTAATCAACATTAATATTGAATTCGATAAAAAATAAAAGTTTTGGCGTGATTATATGAATTGTCAAATCTAAAATGAGAACAAAACGAATAAAAAACATTTATACATATATGTATATATATATATAAGTGTCGACAATTCAATGATGTTATACTTATTATTTTCTACCAGATATTAGGAATGCAAATATTATTATCAACGCCTATATGAGTCGTTTTTCCCTCTCGTTTTTTTTCTCTCTCTCTGTGTACAATTACTATATATATATAAGGTCGTCTAGTTAAACTGGCATAAAGAAAAGAAAGGAAGGAGACAACTATTTCAATTAATCTCTGCCGTTTTTTTTTGTTCTATTGTACTAATTTTTTTTATTTTGTATGAACAAAATTTCTCATAAAGTTTTACCTGAATACATTTACTAATAGCTATCAAAAAAAGAAAAGAAGGACAAATTTATCCAGAGTAGTTTGTGATAGACATACATGATTCATAAAAAACATTAACGCCAGTTCATTGCTTATCTTTCACTAACATAAACATTCTTACACATATCGATTCTACCATGCTTATACGTGAGCATTACTAACACTTATCAAAATGAAATATAATAGCAAACCGTGAACAATTGTTATATATCGAGCATAATCACAAGAATAAACTGCTTTCTAGAATTTAACATGTTTAAATACAATAAAAAAAGAAAACTAAAGCATAATGCATGCGCATTCTACCTTTTTTTAAAAATTTTTTTGTTCGTTTCTGGCAACCTTCATTCTGTACCTTACTTTAATCGCAGAAAGTTGATTTAAACCAAATGATCATGTTGAATTTATCAAATATTCAATGAATTTATGTACAAAGAAAGAAAGAGAGAAAGGCCATTTCATTCATTGAACACAGCAAGTGTGCGTGTTGCGGCTTCATTTTATTTAAATTTATCATATACATAGCGTGTCGCACCATAATCTATTTTCAACTATCATTATTACTATTATTCGTAGTATATGAAACAACGTGAAAAACAAGTTCGTAGGTTCAAAGGGATTGTTATTTATGATATGACAATAGTGTGTGACCTATATATATATATCTTGGTGAGATGATAATATGGACGTAGCTGTGTTATAGAGTTTTTTTTATCTTTTGTTTCACATATATTATAATTGACATATGAATTGATAGTTATAGTTGTGTGAGTCAACTTTTTATTGAGATTATTGTGTAAGAAATTCATTATGAATTGTAGAAAAGTCTTATTCAACTTGATATATTATTATTGGTCATTATATTCAAAATGATGAATATTATGCAAGCTGAGTTTTATCAATAGAATCAAAGAAGTGAATTTGTACATATAGGATCACGATACAAAATTGAAACATCTTCGCTTCAGTTCGCTCGAATGGGTTGATTTTTTGGTTAGTGATAGAAGCTTATTAAAATCTTACCTATTGTCAAACAAAAAGAATACATATGAAGTGTTTCATAGAGAATTTTCACTTGTCATCTAGAAGAATAAGAACAAGAAATCAAAACGAACTTATAATGGCGAACAAAAGTTTCGAGCAGTTGTATTTTTGAGTTGTCCTCTACATGACAATAGATAGGACGAATCTGAAAAAACGATTGAGTAACTGAAAGATTTCTCTATCAGGATTGATGGATTTAAAAACCAGACGTGCAGAAACACACGTTTAGGGAAATTTTTGAATCTATGAACGTTTCGAAAAATATTTTTGTTCCATATGAAGAAAAATCACAAGGTATTATTCTTTGTGATGAGTTCCCTGCATTTGTGCTGTTAACTTTTTCTCTCTTTCCGTTCTTGTTCTTACTTCATGTTTCGTTTCTCTCTTCCTCATTCAATTTCATGTGTTCTTTTCTGTTGCTCCGTGCACATTCATTACATCATGATTCGTTTGATAGCGAAGTAATGCTTCACTGAAATGTTTCTCCATTACATTCTGCTGAGTCCTTTATCAAACAGTTACTGAATGATTAATTTAGTACCAAGAAGGAGAGAAATTGGTTATTTTTATAACAAGAGTGAACAATATAAAACATAGAAACTTATATCACCTGACTCGGTTGTGCTAACTCGTTTACGAAAAAAAAAAACAAGCACCAAGATTACCAGAGTCAATTGAAGATCAAGAAAATGAATTGTTTTTTATATCACACTAGTTATTTTAAGTAGAATTATTTCGATGTCCTTTCTTTATAATAAATATATATTCTATACAAGGACGTCTTGTTTCTTTTTAGTTTTCTAGGCGAGGAAATTTTTCTTTTTTTTTACGGCATATTCTGCAACTCTGCTAAAAACTCTAATAAGACTTCTTAAATTTGAGATATCTGGAAAACAAAGACTCACAAAGATCAGTTTTCTGATATATATTTGAAGCTTTTTTTGGAAAAGATTTTATTTGATAGAGTAAAATGAGATGTCTCGATTCTTTGCATGACCTTTCTTCGTCGAACTACATGCAATTTACAGACAATTCAAGAAGTATTTTTCTTTTATTTTAATGATGTCACGGTGTTCAACACTTTGGAACCTGCTATAAATTGAATGCAGTTCAATGAAAGAAGATCACGAAGAGAGTAGAGACACCTCATTTTACTCTATCAAATAAAATCATTTCCAAAAATCACTTTAAATGTGTGTCAAAAAAACTGGTTTCTGTGTGTCTTGATTTTTCAGACATCTTCATTCAAACAGTTTTATTGAAATTTTTATATTCGTCAGTCCTGATGGAGAATCTTTTCAGCTACTCTAAACGTTTGTCCACCATTGTAGGCTTTTTTTTTATTTCTTCTTCTTATTCTTTTAGATGACAATTCGCAAAAAGAAACGTTCTGTTCAATTAATACTTTATTTATCTTATTGTATTTCTTTTGGCTATTAACCTAATATAAACGCAATAAAGAGTGAGAATATTCTTTAAAGACAATAATTTAGAAGAAAAAAAAAAAGAAATCATGACATCACTGAATAGAAAATATTTGAAAAGAATCTACAATAAAACCTCTCTAATATCTAACTTACAAGTATTCAATCAGAAGTCAATCAACACATATTGACATGATTTGACGTTACCAACTGTTTTACACAAAATGATGAGATATTACACCAAGTAATATTGCTGTTATCTAATATTGTTCTTTTTTCTTTTTAAATATGTACGGGTTAGTCCATCTCCTTCTTATATATGTCCCATGATTGTTTATCATAACGTAATACATATAACATAATTTTTTTTATCGTTCTGTGCATGAATGATAGAACATTTGTTGTTCACATTACAAAGGTTGTTATTGCTCATGGGACTGCAGATAAGCTCCCACTGCTCATATTAGAGAGACTTATTCTTCGAGAAATTCGCTTGAGAGGACCATGTTCATATACAGAGGTTTTGCTATATATGGAAAAAAAGAAAGAAAAGATGAGTATGAGATAATAGATGGGTCACCTATTATGACCTATATAGCCTTGTAGGTCTAACAGTTTAGTTTAAACAATTATTAAATCGATATAAACAGTGGCGAAGACAAGATTTTGGGCTAAGAAGGAAGGGTTAAGACTTCTTTAATTCCGCCACTTGATTTGATCAATCTTTTTCGTTTTGAACTATATAAGAAAATCTTTTTTTTCTTTTTTGATCTCTTGAGAATCAAATTGAATTAAAGCAACAGATGTCGTTATGTGAAAGTGATTTGATATGTTGATAGTTGGTTAAGTGTTGATATTACTTCGTTTCTTATCATTTCGACAAACAGCTGCATGAAGAAAATCTTCAAATGATACATGTCCAAATCCATGACGATCAGCTAATTCAATCATTTGATATAATTCAAAATCATTTATTGAATTTTCAAAATATTTTTCAACAGTTAATTTAAGATCATCAAATGTTATTAAACCATCTTGATTTTGATCAAATAAATCAAATGCTTGTCGAATTTCTTGATTTGTTTCATTTGGATACATATTATGTGAAATAATATTTACAAATTCATAAAAATCTATTGTACCAGAATTATCAATATCAATTTCACGCATTAAATCAATCATATCTGATTCTGTTGGTGAATGACCAACTGTTTTCATAACAGAAACAAGTGTTTGTAATGTTAACATTTCTAAGAACAATTTAAAATAATCAATTTTTTAGTTTTGGTTTTCTTTTTTTTTTGTCTCTAATTTAACCTTGATTATCTTTATCAAACATATCAAATAATTCTCGAAATTCTGTCAATTGTTCATCAGTAAATTTTTCTAATACAATTCGTTGTGTACGTTCTGTTATATCATTTGTTAGTTTTCTACTATGACGAAGTCCGTTTATATTATTTTCAGGGTTTTTTTTGGATTTTGCCGGCATATGTCTATTTCTAATTATTTGCCTATATGTATTTAATTTTCATTGATCACATGCTGAGCAAAACTAATCTCGACGTATAATACAAATAAGTTAACAGAAAATCTATAAATGTATTCTTCGAAGTCGAAAGCAAAACAAAAATAAAAAAAGAAAATAAATTTAAAAGTGCGCCTAGTACAAATCTAAGAAAAAAAATTAACCGTCTTCCAGATAAGATAAGAAAAAAGAAAAAGATTGAGTTAAACAGTCTCTCTTTTTTGTTGTCTAGATAAAACAGTATATGTATATACAATCATTCATTTATCTGTTCTGTATTATGTCAGATGAGAAGAGAATATCTAAAGCATTATCTTCTTTGAATTTTAATGTATTTCTATTCATGATACAAAAAAAATTGAATAGATGCACTTCAGAAAGGAACTGTTGATGAAACATTCGATGATAGAGACTATGTCTGCAAAAAAAAAAGTTATCGAATTGCTCAAACAAAATCGTTTAGGTAATCTATAAACTAGGAATGAAGAATTTGCTTGTTGGTTGCAGCGACGCTTCTAAAGAAAAGCTACCTGTCGAGGAAAATCGGAAAAACTAAAGAATGTTTGCCTGCGTTTAAGTCTTGGTATAGCGTCAATAAACAGATGATGATTTATCTCATACCGGAGAAAATTTCTCGTGATTTCCTGGTTGCTCTAGGAGAGGTCCAGTAGATTCTGCATCGCTGCAATTAACAAAAGAACAATTTGTTTAAAATTCTTTTACGGCTGAGAAAATGGTTCGAGATAATACTTTAAATAAAAATTTCATTTATTTATTAATTCGACAGTCAGGATTATACCCTCGATTGAAGCTAGGGTCATATGAAATAAAATGCGTTTGCTTGCTTGTATATTTGTAGGCACATGTAAACAAATATTTGTGAGCGTTCAGAGCACCTATTTGAAATGCGGCCTTTTGAGGTTGACAACTCAACCAATCAAATGTTTTTGCTATTGGATCTGGACCAATCAGATTTTTTCCTGCTCAGAATCCAGCCAATCAGATTCTGTCGCTGTGCGGCTCACAGCCAATGAGGTTTTTTCGTGAGGTAAATTCAGCCAATCTCATGTTTTCAATATCTTCGTTATGTAAATTTGATTTCTTCTCGAATTTTTTAACGTTTTAAAACAATTTTTGCTTCCTAAAATTTACTCAATAGGTGGATAATGATTCACACTATACCATGAAAACAGCAAACATTTTGAGTTAGAAAAAGAGATAGGAGTGCCCTTAAAGTTCACTTTAGAAAAACTCAAAAGAAAGGTTCGGTTCTCATACAAAATGATCGCTTCTGGGAATATTATAAGGTTCCTTTGTATGAGCGTATGTTCAACGATAGTTCTCAAAACAGAATCCAGCAAACGATGAGAAATGATGATTGAATCGAATTCAGTCGAGAATCAAGGGAGTTATGATGATAAGTGTTTACTTGTTTGTTTCTTTTTCTGAATAGATTAGAACAGCTTTTGTTTGAGATAAGGCTTTGGACTCTCATAGGTTGTTTTCATATAGCTTCCTTCGCTCTTATATCTCAGAATATTTTGTTTCGACGTAATATGTTTCTACAAACTAGATATCGAGTGTCACCTGCTGTGAGTCCTTATCAATAGTCAACATTCGTTGCAATATTTATCTTTGTATAAAGAAAGTAATATTTATATTTAGTTCTTTTTCTTGTGATTATGTTTCAAACAGCATATCTGTCCAATGAGATATAGAAAAAATTCACAGCAAGCAATACATAATTTTTGCCACAGTGATTAGGGAAAGCAAACTCACTTTGAAAGTTTCGCAACATTCATGAAATTATCGTTCGAATAAACATAAGAAAAAATCGAGTTTTCTAAACTCAGAAACCCATTTTTTCTTGAAAAATAACCGCTTCCACATGACTGAAATTTTTCTTGTCTCGTTCTGGTCCAGTACGTTACTACCAGTAATACAACTTTCATTTTCAGATACAGAATAACATACTATATATAACGTAGATCCCAATACAAAATCATACCATGGCATATAATCCTAATCCTCCGATGACACTTTCAACTGTACCTATGCTCAACCCGAGCAACGTGTATAGCAATCCAATGATGCATCTACTAACAAGAATTCCGTCGTCAGTATCATTAAAACTGACTGTGGGCGGAATTTTTTATATCATCCTTGGACTAGTTGCAATTGGATTGGATATAGGTATTATTGTTAATGCATTGATGAGGTAAGAACTTTGATAATCAAATAGAAAATATTTTTTGCTGTTTTTCCTAGTTTTGGTGGTATTATCAATGGTGTGTATTTATTTACTACTGGGATACTCATCTTACATTTGTGCCGCCATGAAGTGTACGTCTTAACAAGCCTGTTTATTTTGGTCTTTTTTGAACTAGTTTTATGTACACTGAGTGGAATCGTTTTTATTATTATTTTGATTGATGTACCTTACTGCTTCAGTGACTCTACTTTTTGTGGCCCCTGGCGTATAATATTGATCGTTCAACTTATTAATTGTTTTTTTATTTTATGCTTGAGTGTCTTTAATATGGCTGTGATAATAAATGGACGTCGACCTCAATATGTTTCAGCAATAGCACCCACGATAGTCTATTCACCACAAGTACCAGTGGCGCCCGTTTCGTTTGTAAATCCTGGGACAATAACCGTAAAATAATCAGACTGCTGTATGCATACATACAATTGCTCAACGGTGAAAGACTTGATCGATCGAGAAAAGTATACAGCGAGAATGCTAAGGACATTCGAAGATTTTTCCTTTTTTTTTCTTGTAATCCCTACTGATTAATCCAAGATTTTGATTTGAATGCATGCTTACAAATGTAAGATAGTATAATATAATGTTACGTGTGGATGTGGGTGCGGAAGTATGTATCGCTAGGGTGTTGGTATGAATTTGGTTTTATGTGCAGGATGTAATCGTGCTGTGTTGAAATTGCTGAAGAGAAGATATACATTAGACATCACCACACATTCTCAGACACACTCTACGTCTACATTCATAGTCTAATAAGCACTTGAACACCATGAAGCAAGATTTTCTCTGTTTTAAACTTCATACAGTCACAACAAGGTGGACCATTAAGTCGCCAGACAGTGCGGAAGTTCGAAGCCGTGTGTTCAATATACTATTGAAATCTCTATTCACTTGTACACTGCTTACTAGGTCTTCCTTTTTTCCCTTACCTATATAATATTTTGTGTGTGTGACTGTTGTCAGTGCCAAACGTCAACGGTTAAAGGTGTAGAGTCAAAATTCAATCTTGAGAAGAATATCTGGAGCTCTCGAGGATGGTGTAAAATTTTTACGAGCTCTCAGATACTTTCTAGAATTCTTTTACGTGGAGATATATCGACCAACTTAAAGTCACAAAGCTTAAGAAAAACCGATCCGTGCAATTTGCACGAGAACTCTTTACTTTATTATATTATTAAACTGTTTAAAAATATACCAAACAAAATTTGATTAAATTCGCGTTCTTTCTCCATTTTTTAATATCAATGGCAGACATACTCATGTACTTTTCTCTCCCTATTTTTCAATAAAATGTTACAAGTTGATCATCTTCATGTATGTCATATGCGAAATGAATAGTTTTATGAACACCCTATTTACCTACTATGCTCATTTTAAAGCATACCAATTCAGTTCGTTTATAGCACTCAATATCAACATATTGTTCACCAATCGTACTCATTTCGAAAAATAGTTTGCAAGTCGATCAAGTGATCGCAAACTGCACAACTAATAAATACCCATTACTAAGATTTCGTTCAACCTTCATTCCTTCCCTCCTAAGAAGCAGAAGCTTCGAATTGTTCAGCCGATCGATAATTACATCATAAATGAGTATATTTTACCAAAACTTCGCTCATCTATCTTCCATTACGTCTCTTTCTCCTGATCACTCAGCGCAGCCCACAACGACACCCACTCACTCATGCTCCCCACCAACACTCTTAATGAGTCAGTGTCACATCAAAATTTCGAACAACTGAATGATGAACAATCTTCACTTATGTTATTAAACTTGTTGACAAAAAGACGAACACTTATTCTTTTGAACAGTTTAATTATATCTTCATACGTGATTGTCGAAAAAGAATTCAATTTCTATGTTCTTTATTTAATACGATCAAAACATTACAATCATAGTACACATTGATGCTTATGATAAACTCAAAATAGAATAGTATGCTTTATCCTATTCGATATGCATTTTTTACCAGTACATCGTCTTTCATTACAAGTAGATGTTTTTGTACAAGAACTTTTACTCATATCGGAAAAATTATCCTTTAAAATATTTGCATGAACAATGTAGATGTTTTTCAAATTCAAATAAATATTTTTGTCAATGTTTTGATGACTTTTCTGGAATGTTATATACGATTAAGAATGCATATGATTGTTCTTCAAATTTGATTTGTATTTATCCTGATGAAAAATTTGAACAAGTTTGTTATTTGAAAAGAACAATATCTTAGTCAAATCGATATATTGCAGATGATGAAAGAATGTATGAAATAAATTATTATTGTCTTACTTCTGAATGTTCTACAGATTCAAGAGGTGACAATAATGATACAAAAATTGAATTTATTTTCACTAAAACTATATCGATTTCACAATCGATGCTCAATTGTGATTTCAAACGTATCAATGTGACGTTGATCAACATGCAAATTGTTTTAAATTTGATTGTCATCCTATTTACGACTTTTCAGGTCGCAATTATTGTTAAAATAATGGTCATCAATATTAATATAATAATATGTGTCCAACATCATCATGCTTTTGTAAAGAATGTTATTGTGGTAGTTAATGACAATTTACTTCAGCAGATTTTGATCTATTACTCGACGTTATTTTTAGTTATAGTATTCAATCAAATGTTTCTTTTTCGCGACAAACGACAGTAGTAAAATTAAATACATCTTTTACAATAATGATATGTATTTATTGCCATTATGTATAGTGTTTTATCCATTGTTACTTTTCAAACGAAACGATCACTTGAAATTGGTTGTGGTCATTATCTACTTGTATCATCGACAGAGATGGGTAGCTCCGACCGTTAGCCGCTCCACCTCAGCTTCAGCTCCAGATTTGTTCAAGCCGCTCCGCTCTGACTCCGCTCCAGCTCTGCTCTGAAAGCGGAGCTAGCTCCGAAGTCGAAGTTGCTTATCTTTAATTATCAATTACATCTTTTTTGACGATGACGATATGTACTATCAAAGTTGTATTAACTTTTCCTTAGCCAAACATCAAGAATTATCGATTCTTTTTTTTTCCTATTATTAAAATGCATCTGTACAGATTTGTTATTAAAAGTATCTCTAGCTATTGAAGATTGATTAAATGCTTGTGTAAGTACTGAACAAGAATTGATTGTTCAACTGAACATAAAATTCAATAAAATAAAAAGTAAACAAGTTGCTAAAAATAGAATACATCTGTTAACGTTTGCAACTTCAATTCATGATCTTATTCATCGTCATTTACTTTATAATATAGAAGAAGAACAAACATAGTATGTTGTTCGTAATTCATCATCTATACATAATTTTGCTTCATTTATCAATATTTTTCATAAATCGAGAGAAAAATATGAATATGTTGAAAGAAATCACTCATAGTAAATGCTTACGGCCATACCACGTTGAATACACCAGTTCTCGTCCGATCACTGAAGTTAAGCAACGTCGGGCTCGGTTAGTACTTGGATGGGTGACCGCCTGGGAATACCGAGTGTCGTAAGCTTTTTTTTATTTCTTTGTTTTATTTAAAAAAAAATTCTTTCATATACAGCTTGAATAATTCTTTATTTTTTTAATTACTATTCAAACGACTAAAACAATCATCAAAACAATAATTCGTTTTTTATTAAATTTTTCTGAATCCCATAGAAAAAAAAATATCTATACACAATCGCAAAACAAAAAATAAGGCACAAGCTTACTTAATAACAAATAATACTAATAATAGAAAAATCATTTTCGTGCTATACCCGACACATGCGGACTTAAAAGAAATGGAATACCATGTGCATTAAATATATGTTGTGTTGTACCACCGTTAAAATGTGCTCGTTCAATATGTTCTGGAATATTTCTTATTAATGAAATACCAAATAATAATTTATATATTGGTGAACAAAGATATTGAATAAAAGCAAAGAAAATATTCGATGAACGAATATTTTCCATATAAAGAAAAAGACCACCCTACAAAATACAAAAGAAAAAATGACAAGATTTAATTAATCATCAAGATTTTTATTTATTTACTGGTTTAAGAATCCGACGAATTTCACGTAGTGCTTGATCAATATCTTTACAACAAGAAAGTGTTAAAGTTGATACAACTGCATCAACTTGATTATCTCGAATAACTATAAATAAAAAAAATATAGGTTGTTTTTTGCTTCTGTTTTGTTTTACTTACCAGCAATATTTTCAGCATTACCTATTAATAATTCTCTACATCTAACATGTGGATTTTGTTGAAGTGTTTCTTTTAAATCTTTTTCAAATTCTCGTATTGGTTCAACACAAATAACTTCAACAACTATTAAAGAATAAAAATAGAAAATTTCTATTAAAATACTATTTATTATATTACGATATGGAGGATAATAAGGCATATTAGCACCATGTGCAGCACCAATTTCAAGAACTTGAATTCTTCTTTCTGTTTCTCGCATTTTCACATTTTTTAATTCGTTAAAAAGTTTTTCTTTTTCTAAATGAAGTGCTTCATTATAACGAAGAGAAAAATTTTTTGTTGATGACATATAATGATGTCGATAAGATCCAGGTAAATATTTATAAAGTGTATAGGAACCAATACATACAATAATGACTGTTCCTATTTTTATCCATGGCCAATAACGATAATCTTGTTGAAATGGTACAAATATATTAGATACAAAATTACGTATTGTACCTAATAATGTGGGAGATTTTTCAATTAAAATAGATTGTGAAAATGTGTTTACATTTGGTTCGAACATCTTAAAAAAAAATAAAATAATAAAGGATGTAAAATAAATAGCAGGTTTATTTCTATTAGAAAAGCGAACAGACGCACGGTTAAATAAGATGAACATGGAAAAAATTTTTCTTTTTTCTATTTTTCAAAAATTTTATTAAATGTTGGTCCGATCTCTTTTAATATATCTGCACTAATCATTGAGCGACCAAGTTTATTAAAAACTCCTTGACTTGCAGTACGAACAAGTGTTGATGCAGCATAAGCCGCTACTTGAGCTGGAGTTGATTTAGATAAATAATTTATACGTTCATTACTTGTTGGTGATCTCTCTGAATTTGATGATTGATGTTCAATTTTGTCACGATTTTTTATTGCCCAACAATATGATGTAGCTAAAGCTCCAGCTAATAAATCTCCTTGACCACCACAACGTCTTGGTGAACCGTCAATACCACTTTGTATTGGTTCTTGACTATTTGGTGAAGATATCGTATCTAAATGTCCTTTCATAAGAATATTAACATGAAGTGTTTCAGCTAATTTTTGTGCTAATTTTCTTTTATCATTTTCTTGTTTTATTTCGTCAGATTTTACACCTGTTACTTTTGCATATAAACGTTCAAATTCAATAACATTTGGTGTTAATATACAATTTTCATAATTATTTATAAGATGTGGTTTTTCAGTTATTAAATGAAGACCATCAGCATCAATAACAATTGGTATGGGATGTTCTTGTTTACGTAAAATACCAATTAATTGTTCAACATTTGATAAAATTTTTTCATCACGTCCTAATCCAGGACCAATAACTAATGCATGTAAACGTGGTAACCATTTATCTATATCATCCGAAAAAGATGGTGAATCCTAAATAAATCTTAAAGAGAAATAAATTAATTTATTTTAACTTACAAGAAGTGGATGTACAATTAAATCAGGTGAAAAACTTTTTATTGGTATAGCAGCACTTTTTGCACAAAAAACATGAACAAGATCAGCACCTGTTCGAAATGCTGCCATACTAGCAAATATTGGTGCACCTGTATATTCTTCACTTCCACCAACAACACCAATACGACCAGCTTCACCTTTATGTGTATCAAATAAAAGTGGTGGTATAACTTTTCGAAATGATTGTAATAATTGCATATGTTGTGAAGCCATTGCCATCTAGAATATGATAGAGAATGAGAGAAAAACAAACAAACAAAAGAAATAACTAATGTATTCGTATCGCTTATTATCGTTTTTATTCAAGATTTATTTTTAATAAACAAAAAAAAAGGAAAATAAGAGAAGGACCGGGCTTGTTATGTAAAGAAATAGAAAAATACCAAACGGAAAGAAAGAAAAAGAACGAATGCCGTAATCACTGGGCATATATTAAACAAAGATAGAAAATTCACAAACGTGTTGATTAATCGCTCGAACAGCACTTACAAGTCCCTGTAATTGAGCAAAAGAAAACCGACACCTCACTGTTCTAAAAAATAATAAGTGTATTTAAGTAAGAATAAAGAACAGAATAATTGCATAAAAAAATACAGAAGATACATAGAATGAGAAAAAAAAGAACGGCACCAAACAAAAAAAAAATATGATTGTATCATTGTTTTTATTCTTAATTAGCAACCAATTTGTACACTTGATATTGTGGCCCACCTGCATCAAACATAGCTATTTCGAAAACAAAAGCAAGACAAAGTAAAAGTTGTTCGGGATTATCTAGACATTTAATCACTTGGAGTACAGTAAAGTTCTACAATAAAAGAAAAGAAAGATTTTATAGATTAAAATGTCAAAAAAAAAACCAATGCATCTATTTTAATTGTAAATGAGACGATTTTAATATGTACAAAAAGCAGTAATATATTTAAACAAACATTTAAATTACTTTCATAATTGAAGTTATAAAAATTATTCAGGATAATAACGAGAACTTCTATCTAATGCAAAGTTGAAATATATACTGATAGGTTTGGATGTTATGATAGTTTATGACAAACGGACATTGTTCTGTATATTTATTGAAACACGAAAGAATCAGAGATCTACATCGCGCCTAAAAAAGAGGTAGAAGCGACGCAGATGGTCTCTATCAGAAAGCCTTTTTTTGGCGAACGGCGCCGTCTCCCACATCCTCCTAACTGAACGAGGCGTGGTCGTTCGTACCCTACTGATCGAGTAAGGCGCGACCACCCGTGCCCACTACCTAAGAGTAGTCGCGACCGCTCGTATCCTCCTAACTGAATGAGGCGCGGTTGCCCGTGTCCTCCTGACTGAACGAGGGCGGCTGCCCGTACTCTCCTAACTGAATTCGGCGTGAGCACATGTGTTCTCCTAACTTAACGGCGTACAGTTGTCCATGTCTCCCTGACGGAACATGGTGCGGTCGCTCGTGCTCCCATAACTGAATGTAAGCGCAATCATTCACGTCCTTCTTACTGGAAGAGGCACAATCCCTTGCGCCTTCCTAACTTAACGAGGCGTGGTAGCTCGTGCCCTCCTGGCTGAACAAGGCGCAACTGCTGACCGGCTGCATCTAACGATAACACGGAACGTTTTTTTTCTTGATATTTGTGGCGCTATGATATTTCTGAAAAAATAGTGGTTCATTTTTGAATATTCGAGTATGAACAACAATATCAAATTGAAAATATCATGAAGGTATATTTAATTAGGCGAGACATAGCCAGAGTTACATATATACTTATAGAGTGCTTGTTTCAATCTTAATCTATTTTGCAACAAAATTTACACAAACCTATAAACAAGTAAATTCCTTCTCTTAGCTTCCAACATCTAATGTTTATTCTTTTTTTTTAAAAAGTCCTAGCTATAGGGTATAATAGCTGGTATGATAAAAATGCAGCCACCGTTCAAAATTTTCTTCGGTGAAGCGGTCGCCAAAAACTGAATCATACTTGCTGTTAGAAGGTGAGCTGCTCGCTTGTCACCCTTCGCCTCTGGGTGAGCGATGCATATCTTTGAAAGGTATGCTAAACTTCTCTTTCAATAGATCTCATATTTACTAGTAATCGTGTTTTTAAGAACTCAATTATCGAATTCATTTTTGATATTTTCTTTTCTTTTTCTTTGTCTCACCTCCAATACACTATTCATCATACAAGTATTTGGAAGAGAACGAAGTTTTTGTATAAATTGTACCATATAATCACATAATGGTGAACGATCAAAACGATAAATATATTGATCAAATTGATCACGTTGTGGATGTTCACTTGTTTCAACTTTTTCTAAAACTTGTTTACCAAATGAACATAAACGTGTTGATATATGTATTGGACGATTTGAGCAACTTGTATATGTAAATGATGTAAAAAATGATTCATCACGAATATTAATTGAATTTGTTATTGATGATGATATGGGTACATCAGCCCAAAATTTAATTAAAAAAAATGATCCATATGGATTACGTTCATATAAATCTTTTAAACCATCATAATGAGGAAATTTATCAAATATTTGATCAATTGATATTGTTTCAAATGTTTGAATATTTTTCATTTGAATATCATTTGCATGTAAACGAATTAAATCATGTTGATGAGCTGAATATGCTTCTGATGTTGGATAAATTAATGATGGATGTGTTGTAGCTATTGTTCGATTAATTTCAACAAAAGCACTTAATTCATAAAGACGAAAACTTTCATCACCAATTATAGCTAATGGAGTTATAGATGAATTTGTTATCATTAGACCTTGAGAAACTGTTGAACCAGAAGATAATGGAGATGATGATGAAGTATTTGATGAACATCGAGATCGACCTGCAGCATGAGTATGTACGGCAGGAGAATCTAATTTGAAAAAAAAATTTGTTATTATTATATAGAACAGTAATATTTTACATTAAACGATAGATGAAGAAAAACACATCGATTATTTTATTCATGGAATTAATATTTCACTGCTTATAGAATGTTATACTGAATCAAATTATCGTTAATTTACTAATTTTTATCCTCTTTCGTAAGAATACAGTGAATATAGTTGTAATATTTTTAGATAAACTGCACATATAAACATGAGCGAGAACAGTCGTTTTTGACTTCAGTTCTATAGTCCAAACAATCAAAAGTAGGAGTTGGAATTTTACTTTTTTTCAATTTCATCAGGCCCCTCGATGTGGCGGGGGCTGCCGGGAGCTAGCCCCCGGCACTTTTTGAGCGTGTCTGCGAAAATTTTCTTGCTATTTGTCTGCGAAATTTTTAGTAGCGCTTAGAGTTCGGATTGAAAGGGTTCGGCTGTCGTAGGGGTACTTCAGTACGCCTAGAAAGCTTGTTGAAGACCTTCTTTTTGCTCTTCACTTCTGACTTTTGGGAAAATTAGGGGGGCATTTATGAGTACTGTCTGCGAAAAATTATTAGTCCCCGGCACTCTCGAAAACAATCGAGAGTCCTGAATTTCATCATGCTGTGTTGTCTTGCTTTTATATACTATGGACTGATGTGGATCGGTCAAATATTTACTATTATAATCCTGTAGTAGTCCTCTACCTATGCTGTATATCTTGGAATTTTGTCTTGGTGTATATGTGTATATATAATATCAACTGTAGTGATTCTTATCATTTGATTTTTATTTGCACATTGCATTTTGTATTACATATCTTTTTTATCGTACGTATAAATGACACTGTGTACCAATATATTGCGGGATAACTTTTTATATTACGCTTCCTTTATTGTATTATGACATATAGAATTGACCTGTTCATATAGAGAGATCATAGCCACCATACCTTCAGATGAGCTTTATGTGTCATAGTATAATAAAGGAAGTGTAATATAAAAAGTTATCCCACAATATATTAGTACACAGTGTCATTTATACGTACGATAAAAAAGATATGTAATACAAAATGCAATGTGCAAATAAAAATCAAATGATAAGAATCACTACAGTTGATATTATATATACACATATACACCAAGACAAAATTCCAAGATATACAGCATAGGTAGAGGACTACTACAGGATTATAATAGTGAATATTTGACCGATCCACATCAGTCCATAGTATATAAAAACAAGACAACACAGCATGATGAAATCGAAAAAAAGTAAAATTCCAACTCCTACTTTTGATTGTTTGGACTATAGTCTTAAAAAAAATAGTCTTGATCCCGATCTAAAAAGCAATTAGTCCCGGTTTCGGTTCATCTTGCCCATATCGATTTAGAACACGTGATTCATGTCAATATGACCTTAGATACTAGTTTTGCATGATCATAAAAGGTATTGTTTTCAATGAAAAAGCCTTCGGTCTGGTTCCAGTCTCGACCCATATCTAACTGCGCGATTACGCATTCGAAGTATCATTCTTCTCCACATATTCTATTTTTTTAAAGATTAAGTACATTAACTTTCAAGTAAGCTAATCTACATTGAGTCGAATGACTTTTATTGTATTAATTTCACGTAATACTCATAAAATGCTCAGTTAATTTTATTTTATGAAATTGAATTAATATATTGGATTAGATAGAAGAACTATTTACTTGGTATAAAATGTGACATTGAATTGTTCATTATATTTGGTAATGTACTATTCGATTTATTAGTTGATATTATTCTTTTTGTTGTATGTTTTTTAATATCAGATACTTGAGAACATGAAAATAATTCATCTTTCGTTTGAAATTGATCTATATTCATAGTTGATGGTTGAATAGGTTTTATTAAATGTTCATCAATTGGAATGGGTTGAAGGAGATTCTTAATTGGACTAGTTGTCTTTTTTTTCTTATGTTCATCATTATCATCAGATAATGAATCATTATCACTATTAATTTGTTCATTATTCATTGAAACAATTTCAGCTGATGTATATTGTTTTAATCTTTCAAGTATAACTTGTTGTGCAGCTTTATCATTACGTAATGATTGTAATTCTTTTGAACGACGTTTAGCAAGTACTTGTAAATGTGATGAGACTTGTTTACGTGTACGTGTTTTACCTGTACGAATTTTAATATAACGTGCAACTAATTCATTACGTCCATACATTTTTCCTTCTTCAGTTAAAATTATTTTTCGTCGTCCACATGGAGGATATATAGCAAGTGCTTCAAGAAAACTTTGTTCAATATCAGCACTCCATATACCTTCAGCCTCATCAACTGCTCCACTATTTGTTGATGATGATGGTATTGAAACATTATTATCTATTTTAACTTTATCCATTGGTTTTCTTTTTTTTTCTTTTACTTATTCAAACAAATCATATACATCTAGAACTATTAAAACAAAGAATTCAGAATAGATAAATGTTTTTTATTCATACAATACGAAACGAAGAACAAAAACAAGATATTTATTTTATTTATTTATTTTTTACATATGAGATAATTAATAATACAATGGATTATAAGTTATCCAATGAGCTTTATTTTGTTCTTTCTTTTTAGCAGCATCACTTGTTGTAAATAATGATTTATATAAATCGGATTTCGTTGAATCTTGTTGTATTGATGTTTTGCCATTGGTTGATTTGTTTGTTGAAATAATTTTTGTTGTATTAACTTTGTTTGTTGATATGTTTTTATTTGTTACTGTTGTTGATGATGACGATGGAACATCAGTATTTGCTGTTGAGTCTAGAAAAAAAAAGTGAATTTAATTGGTAAAGAAGATTTTAAACTTTTTGACGAGGAAAATATTGTCTCGTAAGTGCGGCTATTAAAAAGTACAGACTGTATTATTTATTCTTTGTCTTAATCTATATCGAAGACTTTCTAATCTTATCTTACATTCAATCAAGATATATATCAGATTTCCCAGAAAATTATCTTTCAAAAAGGAGACTATTTATCTCAGTTGCGGTTAAACCAAATGAAATTGCTTTTGATTTTTGCTAAAATAGCTAATGCTACCTTTGTTCCATTTCATCGAGGTGGTACCACATATTAATATTTTAAAAGTATTCCGCAGTACTAAACACAACATAAACTATTAGATAGAGAGATAGTCTTTCTCTATAAATTTACATATATCCTGTCCTACAGTTAAAGATCATCGAAAACCTTATAATCGCTTTTTTAGTCCAAGGAAAAATCATTGGTAATACAGTACTTATTTTTATTACTCAACAGCAAACAATATGTAAATTTATTGCATCTATTTTTTTTTTCGAATGTCACTTCCGTGGATTCAGTTTAAAAAGTGTATTTCGATAGATGGCGCTATTTATATATTCTAATTGAACTTCGTAACAAAAATTTCAACGTTAAAAAATAGCCGATAGTTCTAAATTATATTTAGTATTGTTTAAATCTTGCAAAAGTATACTTTCGATTTTACATCTAATGACCATTAGTTTCAAATATAGGGAGTAAAGAAGCCTTAAAATTGCGTCAGTTTTACAAATGATTTTTCTATGAAAGTTATTTTTTGATGAAAAAATGAACTATTTTGAAAAAAACGTACTAATTACTTAAGATCTTTCAAAAAGTATGATACAAATAGTTATAAACAGAAGAGAATGACATCTATATGGGAAAAACCCCAGAATGGCGAAAGAAATTGACGCAATTCAACATAAAACTATGTCTTTTGTTTTTCGAAACCTGAAATAAGAAATTTTTTATATATTCAATCCAAAAGTTATAGTTTTCAGAAGTATATATAAATAAAAAACTTTCAAATCTTCTCTATTATCCAAATAAAAAAAGCTATTTGATTTGGTCTAACCGCAATAAAGATTAATTGTTTTCTTTTTGATAGAAGACTTTTCAAACACTCTATTTGATTAAGATTTTCATATTAGTAAGAATAGAGTAATATTGAACTATAACTAAAATATAAAATATGATTATTTACCAATTTTTATTTTTTTTCCATTTGTATCTTCTTCTAAATCGTGTAATTTTCGTTTTGTTGATCCATTCTTTTTTTGATTGGCATTCAATCGTTGTTGTCTTTCTTCCATTAAAATAATATCTTCATTTTCTGGATTTAATATAATAATATCATCATTTGATGAATATTCTTCTCCACATTTTGGACATGAAAGTTTTTCATCTGTTGTATTATTATTATTATTAACTGATCGAAGTGCACGATCCGATAGAACACAACCACATGTCCATACAGCACAAAATTTATATTTACCATTCATTTCTAGACCAGTTAGTGGGCATATAAATGGTGATGAATAAACATCTAAATATTCATTTCCTAAATCATTATGATTTAATTTAAATGATGGATTTTCTGTTAATTGCAATTCTTTAACATCTTTGAGTTTTTTAATATATGATGGTCCATGTTCAAATTGCATACGATCAAGTAAATATTCTAATATAGCATCTTTATTATATAAAAGACCATGCGAATCAACAACAATAGGTCGTTTAAGTGAATCATGTTTTAATGTACAATGACGCCATTTAGCCATATTAGCTGCATTTTTATCTTTGACTTCAGCTTTTTTCTTTTGTCGTACAAGTTCATCACGTCTTGGTATAGTACCACCATCACAACCCATATTGAATTGCTTAGTTGATTTGAAATGAAAAAATAAATAAATGAACTCAATATTTATGAGTCAAAATACATTTATTTTATTGGTTTCATAAGAAAATTATATTTGCCTCTATTCGATATACTCTAGCGACAATGACATACATATGCAAATGTAAATTTTATATTGACAAGATGAGTCATATTTAAAAATAATAATAATAATAATATTAGGTAGATTTTTTTTTGTTCTTCTGTTTTCTTCTAGTAAATTCTATTTTGTAAACATTACATTAAAAATCTAACGAGAATAAATTATGCCGGGTTGTCCTCATGATGATGAATATTCATCAAAACCACCACCTGGTTTTACTGATGATAATTTAACGTTAAAACGTGTACAATTAAATGATTTATTAGAACAAGTTATTGATAAATATCGACATGATCCACAATTTATTGAACAACAATCAAAAGAAACAGATTTATTAATTTCTGTTGCACAATTTATACTTCTATCATCACCAATTTCATCTGATGATAAACGAAATTTTCTTAATAATATTGTCAAAATTGGACAAGATTTATTAATAGATGAAAATCAAGTTAATAATAATGAACAAATCTCTTCATCAATCAATTCTAGTAAGTAATTTCCAAGTGAGTTTCGTATCGAATCAAAAGAAAAAAAAATATATTAGATTTATTTTTAGAATAAAGTAATGGGAAAATATTTAATAACAACATATTTTTCTTTATAATGTTAATAGTAGCAGAGCTAGGATTTGGGACCCAGCCTCCCCTACAGACCTTTGAGTTCCTCCTAGCGAAATTTTTCAAGAAAAAAAGATTACATCCTTCAAAAATCTCGCAAGGAAGGTCGACAAGAAAATCTTTTCAGATGCTCCTCCCCTTTTGATTTCAATAATCTTTGGTCGATAGATATTATATAGTATAGTAAAACCTCTCTATTGTGAACACTATCGGGATCAAAAAAAAAGTCTATAGATACTACATAGTGCCCTAGTAAAAACTCTAAAAGAATTTGGGTTCCTAGGACTTTCTTCAAAAGTTATGAATACTTTAATTTTGTCCCTATAAGGCATAACATATAATATTTAAAAGAAGGTTCACCAGGCCGGTTGCCACTAAATGTATATTTTTCTATGTTTTAGCGTAAATGACAGATCGTATTGGGAAACGTATAAATCTAAAATATGAAGTTGTTCTGAAGTATTTATGAAAAATCCCAACGATCACAACTATCGAATTTTTGTGATTGGATTATAACAATTTTTAAAAATGATTTTTTTGCCATTTTGAGGAGTTTTTTGATGATTTTTCTTTCTCTGATCGCCTCTGCGAGCCAGAAGAGGTTTTAAAATATGCAAAACTTACAGAAAGTCATTTCATTTTTTTACAACGCTATAATTCGACGAGATTCGAGACAAATTACACGTAAAAGAATGGCCATCAAACATAGACCTTCTTACTTTTGTGGAAGTTCATTTATTTACTAAAACTTATTGTAATGAATAGTGGTATATCACATTTTGTAGAAAATTCTTTTCTGGCTCAAATGGGCGATCAAAAACAGAAAATTTTCAAAAAACCCATTAAAATGAAAAAAAAACACTTTTTTTAATTTTTATGGGTCTAACAACAAAAATTCGATAATTGTGATCGTTGACATTTTTCATAAATACTTCAAAATAACTTAATAAATTGGATTTATAACTTTTCCGATACAATCTTTCATTTACGCTAAAACATAGAAAAATATATATTTAGTGCCAGTCGGCCTGGTGAACCTTCTTTTAAATATTGTATGTTATTCCTTATAGGGACAAAATTAAACTATTCATAACTTTTGAAGAAAGTCCTAGGAACCCATTGCATTAAAAAATATTTTCAAAACGAAATTTTTTTCTTAGTTATCAATACATTAGTATCGAATATCATGATGCATGTATAGAAATTGACAAACTTTTTAACATCAAGATAATAAATCTTATATTTTAAGAAAAACTATCAATTAAAGAATACTCTAATTTTATTAAATTTTTTTCTTTAGATTCTCAATTGAATGACGATAAAGATATACCGATAGCTACTCTTTCATTAAATACAATAAAAAATGATACTGATGGTGATTTTTCACTCGATGATCTTGCTAATGAATTTCTTCAAAATGAATCATCACCTTCATCTGTAAATGAAAAGTCAATAACATCAATTGAATTTGAAGAACATGATTTAACTCTTGATAATCTTAGTAAAGATTATACTTCATCTTCACCATCGAATGAATCTATTCTAATCAAATCTCCACTTGAATCTATACTTTTTTCTAATCGTTTATCATCACAAGATGCTGCAGATGATGCTGCTTGTATTTGGAAAGAAGAATCAAGTTCATTTGGTCAAATATTTTGTGGAAAAACAATTGAAACTCAACCATTAGTATCAAAACGAATTTCAGCATGTTTATTTGATCGTAGTTTATATGAACGTGTAACACATCTTATTAATCTTTTACCTAAACAATGTATTCGTAATGCTGTTCAACAATTATCTATTCGACAAAATGGACAACAACAACATCGACCACCACGTACAAATAATAATAATCGACGTCCACCACAATATCGACCAACATTTCAACAAAATTCATCACAAGTACATTCTCTTCAACGTTTTCCAACTGCACAAAATTCTCGTCA